CTTAAAAAGAATAAGAGAGTCAAAGATATAATTTTTAAAAATGTTTTTTCTCCTCAACAAGAGTAAATAGTTTCGCCTATCGTCCGGTTCATACTCCTCCCAGGTTTTTTGAACAGGAGTATAGGTTTATTTATCTCTTGTTTCTTCTTTAGTTTCCGGTTGCTTCTAAAATCTTTTAATTCTCTTTCATTCCCAGTAGCCCTTCACGTCATTGTTGCCTTGTTGCCTTACTTGGGGCGGAATGCTTTAAAAAAAAATCGAAGAAATCAAGAAATAACGGATACTAAGTCCAATAAAAATAATTAAGCAATTTCAGAGAAAATACCTGGATACAGGAAAAAGAAAATGTGAAAATGTAAGCTAAAAAAAAAAAAAAAAAAAAAATACAGACGATCAGACCAAATGGGAACGAACAGACGACAATCCTGAAGAAAGAAAAATAACAAAAGAAAAGAAGATAAAAGTAATAATGAAGGGAATCAAAGATAGTACCGGTTTTTATCAATTTTTCCCCCTCTTCCTTGCAAACCGTCAATGCCACCCGCTGGTCCACTGACTATCACATCAAAGACACTACCCGCCTCCAACCAGCTAGATATCCTACAGAGTTTCTGAATTGATGTTTATAATAGAACAAGTCATCTTAACTTAAGGTGATGTCCAACTAAAGTAAAATCCTTTTTTTTTTCTTTTCTCGCTGCTCTCCGCGCTGAACTTTCTTATCATTCAAAACGATTTCTATCTTTTAAATGTGCTATCTTGTTTTAATTAAATTTTGTATAGCAGTTTCATACGGTCATTATTCGGTGTTCTGACTGCGTTTCTCTTGATACTTATCTCAAACGAATCTGTTTGTTCTTCGCATCTGATTTGCAAGCCTGAATTTTGGTGCATTTCTGTAATCTCTCCCCCTGCTTGCATTCCTTTAAACCCCACCACACGCACATACACAAAAAGAAGCGTATCAGGGATTTTATTCGATTTCAATTCAAAATGAGTTCCCTTCTATGGAAGACGTAAATATCCGACAAATATGCAAACGCAAATAAACATATCAGACTTAGATAGATGTTCACTTTTTCTTTTTCTTGGTACGTTTCAAACTTTCATTTTTGAATATATTCACTTTATTTTATAGATAGAATTAAGCTATGTGTGCTTTGTCGTGGATTAAGAGGTTTTCAAACTAGATTGACTGGCCCTTAAAACTGTACCGGGTTAACTCCACACTGAATAACTCAAATTTGTAATCTTGAGCCAAACTTAACTAAACCTAGTTAATGCTAAAAATTATATTTTAAAAGACTGACTCATCTTTAAATATATATAGTCATCAACGGACAGGTTGTTTCGCTGTATTACAGCTCATCTGTGTGGCTACACATCTGACTGCTTCAAGCCTGGATCGAAACTCGACCAATTTGATATCAGTCAGAGATTCTTAGCCCTAGGATATCGGCGCACGTCGAAGAAAGAGAAGATTTAACGCATTATATACGTGTTATATAAATGCCATTCCGCCCGCTCAATTTTTACGAAGAGCAATGCATTAAAGCAGAATCAGCCGTTAAAAATTCCCTTTTCTCCATAGTGCTCAGTCGGCGAACAAGAGCATATATATATATATATATATATATATATATATATATATATATATATATATATTAGTAAAGGTAAAGAACCAGACAAACCTACCTAGGTTTGACGATCCGCTTAGGTTTACTTAGTTTGCTCTACTTAGTGTATTGAACACTTTGCTTAGTTATTTTTACTTTACTCATGTCGGGGTTTTTTCTTTGGACTCTGAACTTAGATTCTAGACGATTATTTTCGCCAGAAGTTCATGTTCTTAGTTCTTTCTTTTTTTTGCACCCTTTTTTCCCTTGGGTATTGGTTTGTTCATTTTACATTTTTTTGCCGGATGAGTATAGCTGCTTAGTGTTATATATATATATATATATATATATATATATATATATATATATATATATATATATATATATATAATTACATGAATCATTCATACAAAAAACAAATATAGATGTTAATGATTTAAATGGCGAGAATACATCTTCGCAAACAACTTCAATAAGTTACACTAACCCCGAACTTGTATATGAATGATATGATCCCTGTTTATAAATTCCAGTTTCATAAGGTCTTTTTTAGTTTTTACAAGCTTTCGTCTGTTCCTACAGACATCCTCAGGTATGGAAATAGAATTCTCTTATTACTATATTTGTACAAAAACGCACAACCTTAAAATTTCAATTCAAACTCAGCGTTGCGACCGCACGTTCCAAAACAATAACACATTTCTCATAGCATTTTTTCGGATTACATCTATATTTTCGTTGTCCTCTTATTACCGAGAAGTAAAAACAAGAACAAATCTATTAATATAGTAAATACAAATAGTACTCGATGTAATATAATAGAGCTATAAATTATATATTACTGTATATATATATATGTTTACTAACCGATAGCCCGACTCGGAGTTTCATGCACAAGGCAATCTTCAGGTACTGAAATGAGACTGACCGTTACATAATTTAAATTTTTAAATAAATCGTATTATGATAATGATGGAGAAGCTCATATTTTATACAGTGAATTTTTAAAAAATTTATATTTAAAATAAACAGGAATTTAAATTTAATATTAGCCACCCTTTCGACACTGGGCGGCACTACCTCCTCAGGCACTTGATGTGGGCCTCCGTGTCAAGTCGAAGACACTCACGAACAAATTCGGGGCTTGTTTTCTTATAAAAACGATTAGAATGAGTTTTCCGAGCTGCTGTACCTTTGTAATCACAATTAGACTTACTCAACCCTTTTCGAATCCTCTGCACTGTACTCAGATTGACTCCCAAACACTCTGAAAATTTTTGTATTGGAGGTTCCGGTGCAAATGCCAAGCAGTACAGTTACCAGTTCCTAATTTCTGGCACAGTGAATTGCGTCATGGTACTCTTTTTCTCACAGACTAAACTGTGCTGTGGACAAAATTCTCGATATTAGACATATTTTTTTTGTGTGGTAGTGGCACAAATGTCTTCCTTAACATCGAAAAACATAGGGAAAATTAATTCATTTTAATAATATGTAGAAATATCCATTTTTTTGATGAAGAAGGTCACGAGACCCGAAACGCGTGTTATAAAATTATGCAAAATAAAGCATTTATTTTTTTTAAGAATCTACATTACAACCAAAAACGTTTTGCGATTTCTCTCTTTATATATATAGACATTTTTATGTTTATACCATCTTTATATATATATATATATATATATATATATATATATATATATATATATATATATATTTAATTTTACTTTTAATATATACAAGTTAATTTAATTTAAATTTACTTTTTAATATATATATATATATATTAATCAATTCATCTCATGCAAGGCGATAATGCCACTAAAATACAATGGGCTACTGAGAATGAAAGAGAAGGAGAAGACTTGTAAAGGAACCGGAAACTCAATCCTAAACAGGAAACAAGGGATAAACTTCTACACCTGTTCAAAAGAGGTGCTAGAATATATATATATATATATATATATATATATATATATATATATATATATATATATATATATATATATATATATATATATATATATATATATATATATATATATATATATATATATATATATATATATATATATATATATATATAGAGGTAAGGCACGTCAGCGTAAATGACGGTTCCGTATAGGATGCAGGTTCGAATCCTGTCAAAGAACGAATATTTTCTATGAAAATTTCTCGGACATTCAGACCGGTAAATGTTATTTAATACTGTTTATCATAAACAGAGCATTTGCTTAAATACTTGTATCTATAAATAACAACGTTAAACATAAAAAATGTCTTTAATAAATAAATTGTCGGACCTTGTCCATTTCTTAATATATATATATATATATATATATATATATGCTTTAGACGTAATCATAGAAAAGAGTATTTAACATCAGAAGACATGCCAACGATACTACCCAAATCAAAGCATATATGGCAACACAGACCAAAACTGTGAATGTTGGATACCCAGTGAGGATAGAATTCACGAGTTTAAAATTGCTCCATGGCTCCGTCTAAAATCTTCACCATATAAAATAGCAGCCGATAAATCTGGCGGCTAAACTAATCCTAATCTTCGAGACGAAACTACTCGAGAAGTAATAGTGAATGCTTTTAACTAATTATAGTTTCCAACATTCTATTCATTACTGTTTCTCTAGTAGTTTCGTCTTCAAGGTTAGGATTTTTGGTATCACACAGGTTGCTTCCGTCGAAACCGGATGTAACACAAGGTCGTATTTTAAAGCGGATCTAACGGCGACACTCTGCAAAAATTCTTAAAGTCCACGTGGCACTCCTCCTTATGGGTATGTCTGAGCAATAAACTAAGCCCCTTCTAGAGGGTGAGGTACTGCCTGGTGGGAAGCCCCTGGAGCTTGTGACAATATTCAAAGAATATTAATCCCATCCAAAGGTTAGGATTAGTTTAGCCTCCAACTGTACAAACTTCTATTTATATTGTGGAATGATTACAACAATAACTAAACAGCAATCATCACTTAGCGCAAGATAAAAGGACACAAGTATTTTTAATCTTAATTGGGTTTAATAGAAGGGAAAATGTGTGAGGCGATCAACGAGTGTTGAATTATTAGGTTGGTGCAAAAATAATGTCGTTTTCTCACATAGTAACATATGTGAGAAAACGACGTTATTTTTGCACCAACCTAATAGTTACTCGTTAGTTAGAGCTAGAAGCTAATCGTTGCTCGAAAACGAGGCACACAAATTTGGTTTTATAATTCTTTTTTTTTACCCACACCACCACATCTAGGTCTGTCAGCACCCCGTTATAATACAAATGCAGCTCCCTGTTACTTCTGGATTTACCACAACGATAAAAACACAGTCCAAAAAAAAGTAAAATAAAATAGGGAAATTTAAGATCGG